TCAGTAATTAGTTAAGCTGGCAATGCGGCAGGGAGGATGAAATTAAATACAAGTTGTAACAGCAAACTGAGTGTGGGCATATTATTTTGAATGAGTTTCGTTGCAAATAAGTTAAAGTGGGTTTATGTACTTACTAAGCAAATGAAGAAAGTTATTTACGTATGCATACAAATGTACTTGCAAAGGAGGGGAGAACGAGCAAAAGGAACTTTGAAGACTAAATGGCTGACAAATTTCAGTGCGTAAGTTTGGCATTCGAAGTTATCATTACATTTCTAAAGGAATAAGTAAATCTTGTGAGAAACTATCACAGCAGAAGTAGTATGTGCATGTGTGGCAATAGCAAAACTAGACAAATATACACATGCATGTATGTACACACATACATATGTATATTTATTTGGATGACCTGTGCCACTTGTATAGCACACTTGTGTGGCAGAAAAGTTTTGCAGGGCGGACATTCGTATGCTGTGAGCGAGTGTGGAGACAGGTGTCATAAGAGGACTTCATAGTACTTTGTAAGTAACGGTTCAATGGAGGCCACTTAAAAAAGAAAGTTGTGCTTCTTGTTTTGGATAACCATTTTACCTATGCGTATGCGTTTGTGTGTGTGTGTGTATTTTTTTTTGTGCATTTTGAGTGCGTCTTTAATTTGCTTGCTAACTTCGCGTAACTGTGGGCGGACGGATGTTTGCTTGCGGGTTTCTGTGTTTGGCTGTGTGAGTGCTCTGATTTGGATAGTTGCTCTAAGTGTGTGCATGTGTTGTTGGTTTAGTGTGCATTTATTTAGTTTTCAAACAACAGTAGCAAATATGAAAATTCAAATTTAAAATACTCGTATAGCAAATTTTGTTTGAATAATGAAATTTTAGCTCTGATCAGATTAAGCGAATATTGAAAATTTTACTTGAAATGTTAAAGAGAAAATATATGTTAATATGCAAATTTTGTTAAGCGTAAATTGCTTTACCGTCAGCGGGTTTTTCGATTTCTATACGTATTTCGCATTGGCCTGCTAGAGTTGCGGAAAATGGTGGCTGATTTAAATCTGTGTACATTTGTAAATATTGTAATTTAATAAGAGAGTTGATTTTTTTTTGTTGTTTTATAAATTTGTTTACATGGGGCAAGTTTTATTTTATTATTTTCATATTTTAGTTGCCAGTTTTTGTTTTAATATGTTTTATTGATTTTTTTGAATATTTCATAATATAATTTTTGTGTATTATTTTTATTAGTTAAATTTTTTATTTTAAAAATTAGTTAATTTTTCCAAAAGTTTTTTTAATTTTTCAGTTAAATTTTTTGGGTAATTTTTTAAATGAATATCAGTTTTAGGAATAATAGTTATTACCGTTTTAATATAGTTTGGTTAAATTTTTTTTTTTTGGAAAAGTTACGTTTTTTTTATTTCAAAATTAAATTTTTTAAATAGTAAATATAGTATATGACGATGTAAAACAATTTTAATACATTTTTACAAAACCAATTTTGTTTTGAAATTTTGATGAGTTTTTGATTTATATTATTTTGGTTTGTTTATGTTTATAGTTAATTTTTTCATTTATAAAATAAATATTTTATGTGTGATTTGATTTTTTTATATAATTTATTGATTTGTCAATTAATTTAAATTTTTTTGATTTACATTAATAATTTTCATATTTTTTTTAAATTTTAAAATGAATTTTTAGCAGTATTAAAATAATTAATTAATTAAGTAATAAATGTTTAAAATTAAATGAAATTTTGATGTAATTTTTTTTTGCGTCGTTTATATGTTTTAGTATGTATTTTTTTATATATAAATTTATAAAAAATATTTTACGTCATGTATTTTTTTTAATTTTTAAAAACATTGAAATACACATTTTTAGGTGCATTTTTTATGCGTTTTTAAATTTATTTTCAAATAAGTAATTTAATTATATTTTTTCGAATTAAAGAAATGAAATATTATTTTTTTTGTTTAACGTTTTATGATTGGGTTAGATTTATAAATTTTTTATTCAGATTCGATTTAAATGTTTATTTTTAATATTATTTTTTACATGCGAAGTTTATGTTACAGTTATTTTTTTTTTAAATTGGGATGCATGTTTTTTATTTTATTATATAGTTGATTTGGAAGTTCACATGAAAATTGAAATAGATTTATTTTTTGCATTTTGTATCAAATGGCGAACCAATTTTTTTTTGTATTTGTGTTGACAGATACGCAGTTTTGTTGAAATAAAAGAAGAAAACGAAAAAATAAGTAGAAGAAGAATTTGTAAATACGCAATTGTGAAGAAGAAATGGAAATTTACGTAATTTATGTATGTTTTTATGTAGTTATATGTCTATGTAAATTTTGTCTATCTAATTATTTGGTAGTACAATTGTTCACCAGATTTCTTCTTATTCAAATGGTGAGTGAAAATTTCAAATCAATTTGAGCATTTGACTGCAAAAAAGCTCGAAGCAAACGCAAAATTTTAATAAAAATTGCGCTAAATAAATGTGGAATCGCAAAATTACGGAGAATTCACTTAGTTTACTTGAATTTGAATGATTCGCGCAACATAAATTTAAGTAGAGCAGATTGCTTTGAAGCAACAACAAAAATAAAAAATAAAACTAAAACAGAAAAGTATAAACAAATTACAGCTAATATAAGACATATGTACACACGCATAGTAGAATACAAACAAATTATTTAGTGAACATGGTGAGTTATTAAGGCTTGTTTATAATTCTGCTTGTGAAAGTTCACCAGACGCGCAGCATTGACTGACACAACGGACATGAAGTCGCTACAGCCAACTACCAATGAATCGCTGACTAACTGTTGGTTTCAGCTGTTTTCCAGCAATTTTAGTGCAGCGTCTGGCATAGAACGCGTGCGTACACGAGTAGGTAAATTTTTATGTCAAGCCATCTGTACGTTTTTGCGCATGAAAATAATAACGTTTTGAGGCAGTTAGCGGTGTAAGCGAGCGGGATGATGGATTGCATGAGAGTTAGGAAGAATTCAATGTGCGAAAATAAGCAAAGTGAGAAACGATTCAATGAAAAATAATTTTTTAATGTTTTTTTGCGTAGTCGCCACTCTAGTTAGAACTTTGAAGAGCAACTGGGCACTTTAAATTAATATTTTCAACTACAAAAATTGTATATTAATTTATGGCAAGCATTCCAGTCCAAACAGCTTAAATGGCTTTTGGGTCAAACTTATATGGAAAATTACCAAATCAATCGAAGATGGAAACATTTGACTCGTACTTCTTGGCTAACTACGCGAGCTCTCAGGCATTGGAATTAGTCGCACCGGAAACTCCGTAATCGGCTCTTTCGTCTCGGACATTCCGCCGACTAAACTAATGGTCTACGTTCAGTTTTTTCGTGGTATCACTAAGCACCATCCCCTAATTATCCAAGTGGTAGCCTCCTCAACCTAACTTCACTTAAACTATCTGAGCATCATACTTTTAATGCTGCTAAGCTTCGGAAGTGGGTTAACGTATGAAAGTCTACGTAAACGAATGCCTTCCTTCCACTGAAATATGTACATACGTAGTTTGAGTGGATTAGTGAGCCTCCAAAACCTCCGGAACCTCCTCTTCTATCACTTCATTTTCAAAACTCAACACAGTATTCGCCAAATTATTGTAATACGGGAGATAACTGTATTTTGAATTTAAAAACGTAATAAATAAAACTTAACTTCTGAAAAGCTATAGCTCAAATAAAAACCCGCTTCAGTTATTTTTTTGTTCGCCAAGTGCCCTTGAGTACATCATGAATTTCCACATGTGCAGTATGCATATTAGGGTGGTCCAAAAACAGTAAAGTCGTAATTGATATGCTCTCACCCCTAGGATTGCTCTATATTGAAAAAAGTGTACGTGTATTTTTTTGTTTTGAAATAAAAAAATATTTAGAGGTCGCTCAAAGCGCTCAAAGCTTTGCAAATAATTTTATATGGGGAAAAACAACTTTTCGTAGAAATGGTTTAAAATTCGATCGGAAAGCTCTGGTTTTCTTCAGCAGAACACACAATTGTTTATTTAACCATTTTTTAATACTAAGGATTTTTTATTGGTTTTATTGGCATTTTGCGGGGTTTTTGTGGGTTTTTGGCGGACCTATAAATTATAGTTGCGATGAAAAAAAGGTTAAATAAACAATTGGGTATTATTACTGGGAATCTCTTGCAGATAAACATAGTTTCCCGATAGAAAAATATTCATTTTTAAGAATTCTATGCCATTTCTACGAAAAGTTTTTTTCCCCTCAATATAAATTACATGGAAATCTTTGAGCGCTTTGAGCGACCTCTAAATAGGGGGTGAGAGCATTACAATTCCGACTTAACTTTTTCACATGCATTTTTGGACCACCCTAATGCATATGCATTTGTAGTGGTAACTTTTGTTGCAGCGAAAACAGCTAGCTCTATCCAAACCTGAGCGTGTAAAATCAAATAATATTGAAAAATTGCATAGCCAGTGGCATGTTGCATAACTGCCATGGAAATAAATTTTGGAAACATTTATGGTTCCACAGGCGTGTGCTTTGAAGTAGAAACATGAACAGCAAAACACAAAAAATAAACTAAAGGTAAAATTAAAGCTGAAAGCAGCAAAATTCAATAAAAAATCAATTATGAAAAAAAAATCTTAAAAATTTAGCAAAGTACGAGTGTAAGCAAATTTAAAAGCGTGAATCCGCAAAAGCACTAAACTTGAAAATTGAATTAAATTTTAATAAAGGCATGATGGGTCCACCTAGCTAGGAATATGTACATACGAAACACAAAAAAGCGAATGAGAAAAAGGAAAGCAGAGGTCACAGCGTGTAATGTCGGACGGTCGATAGTGCGGGTGAAACTAAAGTATGATGAAAGTGAGGCGGTAGAAGTGAAGCTGATGACTTTGACTTTATGTAGTAAGTATAGAGTGGTTAAGCGGTTTTGATTACTCTGCTGATTGTGAAATGACTTTAATGACATTCATAGAGGCTATGAGCGGTGAAAGAAGTCTCAATGATGGATTCCGATGGACGAACGTACTTGGACTTACTCGTACACACACACACACACATAAAATTTAGAATGAGTATGTATGTATGTATGTTGACTTTTCAAATGAAAATTAAAACCAATCAATTGATAAAGAGACAGTAAAAGCGGACAGACACAGACAGAGAGAAGCAGAGACAATTACACATAGGGAAATGAACACTAAATGAATACTAAAAGCGCCCGCAAATAAAGTTGAATGAAATCTAATTAAATAACAGCAAACGAAGCAAAAGTTAGTTAAATCATAAAATTGTTTCGAATTTGAGTGAAAATTTTTACGTAAGCAGCGTGTACAAAAAAAAAAAACGACAACAAATGCGCGGATGGATACATTTAAAAGGGTAAGGGGAGAATTTTAAATTTTGTTTTTAATGCTTTATTGTTTAGTATTTAACTGAGTTTTTTCGCGAGATTTTTATGTATATCCTGATTCTAAGATGCTATTGTAACGAAAATTGATTTGTGTACTCACCAATACTTGTATCGTAGGCATGCAAATACTCTGAAGTCATAAATTGAGAGACCAAAGAGCTTTTGCCCACTGCTGGGCCACCGAGCATCAGGACTCTGCGCGACAAAGAGAGAAAAATTTTAAAGTTATGTTGAAGTTTATAATATTTAAGTCTCATATTTTGTTTATCTGACATTGTTAGTTATAACTACATAGAGGTAAAATCATAAACTTCTAAAAAACGTTTGAATATTTTTTGTAAACATAATTTTTAAGGGCTTTTGGTAAAGTTTTTCTGTCTTATAAAATAAGCGGGTGCATCAAGTGGTCTTCTAAGAATAAAATGCCTTAATTATTTAAAAAAAAAAAAAATCCTTAAATGTTGCTGAGATAAAAAAATAGTTTACCTATGGATATGAAATAATGTGTATCTGAGAGCATGATAGAACTAAAAAAGTATTTTAATCCACATAACTAAAGACCTCACAGGAGGTTTTTTATTAAACCATAAATTACTATTCTTGCAAAAGGCCAATTTGATAAAAAAAAATCTGTTATTTTAATTTTTTCATTGCATTGAGCTCCTATTCGTTATAACCCTCTGACGTGGTAGTCTGACAGACACCGAAGGTTCGACATTTTTCCCGAGCTTCAATAACATTGATTACTAAATACGCCTATTTTTCGACATATAGTTTATTTATATGACTATTTCACTAATAAGTGCTTAAAATATTTATAGAATTTTCAGTTTAAATCGAAAAAGGTCATTCATAAATATCGAATATATATTTTTTGATCTGCAAAATTGGTGTCTGATAGACTACACGTCAATGTTTATAAGTACCGTTATCGGCAAACTTATCGATATACATAAGCAATTTTCGATAAGTATATCGACATAATTCTTTTAACATTTACCGATATTATAATCGGCGCATTTGCCGTTAGTATTATCCTTTTAATTTCAATACAATTATCGATAGTATAGCCGATGACGTTATTGAAAAATTCTCGATATATGTACATACATACATATATGTGAGTAATGCAGGAGGTATATATTGGATATATATCTGCGTTAAAGAGCCATTGGGCATATGCATAAAGCTTAGAGGCTTTATTTTTTAGGAGGACAAAACATTCAAACCCGCCAATATGAGACTTAAACCCAACTACGATCTTCACGGTACTAACGTCAGATATTTCTCCTGAAAGTAGATTTGGGAACTAGGCCCAATTGCCAGTTTCCGTCTTGGCGCGACACCATTTACTGTCAGTCACTCAGCCAGCCTTCTGTATAAAATTTAAGTCCCAGAATCCAAGCAGATTACAAATAAGGTTCATGCGCCTCAATGTACGTTCGGGGTCATAATTAATCGCAAACATTGCTGCATTAGCTATTGGTGGTACCCCGTATAACTACTTCTGGAAGGCACCTCTTCATAAAAATGGAGGCAACTGCAGTTTTAAGCCGCTTCTGACAGTTGGTTTTCATGAAAAGCTTTTAGTGGTTGAAATACACTCGGAATAGTTCCATCTTAAAGATTTGGGGTTAAAGAAAGGTAAGCTCGGAACCTTAGAATTTATAGATTTTTTTTGCAGTCAATACATCCTGCGGCTCTGAGTCTATCAATGGATCGGGGAAGTGATTGCCAATCATAACGAAAATTTCCTTATGTTGAAGGAAAACGTACATATTCGTATCAGCAAGGAAAGGTTGAGAATAATAATAAATTTTAATGTATTGTTTCAAGTCGATATTATTCAATTAGAAAGCTGTGCAGCATCGACTTGCATATATAATTATAATTAAAAAGCTGAAGATTGATGTTTTCCTCACCTAAACTATCGAATTGATACCTAGGTTGTATGAAAAGACTTACATTCCATACGTGCCTCTAATACGAGTTATCATACAACAAATTAAGAAAATCTCTCTGAATCGCCTTTAATTAAATTTGTTCGCACATACTTAAAGACTAGCAGCAGCACCTGTACAAATTTACTTTAATAACGGTGTAGTATGTTTAAGTACCACTTCTATTTGAAAGCAAAAAAAATATATAGATATAAAATAAAAATAAAGATAAAAGAACTCACCTGTATGGTCCACTGCCTGGATTTGATGTGCTGCTCTCACGGCTGGACGCCAAACTGCAGGTGGCTGATGTGCGAGCCGAATTTGGGGCTGGTAATTGTGCGGCAGTCAAGTGCTCCGTGCTGTGCCACGCCAAAGAAGAATTGTAGAGGAATAAAAACAAAAAGAAAAAACTAATCAATGATGATCATCGAAAANCTTTATGGCTTAATTGAACATTAAGGCTGTTATGTTAAATATTTTGTATTAAGTGACAATTAGATGGGTGTTTGGGAGTGATTGATAAACATTTTTGCACTTCTAAACTTTAGTTTACAAAATACCAGCACATATCGTTTTACTTTTATTAATGTAGGACTTTTCTTTAATGTCGGATTTCCACTAGGCCTAGAAATGATGGAAAATGTGTGCCATTCAAAAAATGCCACATAGAAACGAACTTTATAACTATTTTAATATTATTATATATGTGACCAAAAGTTTAAAGAAAACAGTGACAGAATTTTTGCCCTACTTTTAGAAGGGTGTCGAGCCATAATGCCGAATTTCCACTGGACATCAATTGAAAAAAATTTAGACTGATAGAAATTTTTTCGGGATATTTTAAGTATTTTTAGGAAGATTTTCGATAGCTTGAGAGATGTTTCTTACGAATGTGCAACACATTCAGGACTTGTCAGGAGTTTTCGAAATTATTTTTGGAAATTTCAAGGTCTAATGGTACTTTTAAGTCTTAATGTGTTCGTTGCTTAAAAATTAATAACACTCTTTACTTGAAAAACGTTTACTCATAATATTTTTAGCAAAAAAATGGTTTTCAGGGCCTTTTAAGGGATCACTGGCGACTAAAGATGTGTACGGGATTAAATATTTCATCACGATCTCGACATTTTTAATGTTTTAGAAGTGTACCGCGGGTCCTAAAATCTATCACTAAGAAAAATTCACATGCCGTTCAAATTAATTAAAAATAAAAAATAATAATAATGAAAGATCTGGCATCTTCCGATTATTTTGTTTAACTTTGCTGTTCGTTTTCGTCTCAATAAAACATAAACAGTGCATATTTCAGACAACGTTTTTAAGGAAGATTTTCTGAGTTTGGGGAAGTTGCGGTTTCAGCGAGAGTGTCGCGAAAGGATTTTGTTCCCGTCTCGCCCGCTTAATTTTTACAGACCTTCCCGATACCGCTCATCCAGGAAAATTTTAAAGCAGTACCGACTTCTCAGATTTTCTCGGGTTTTTTTGAAGTTCATAGGTACATTTCAACCTTTGATTCGATATCCTTTTAATTAGGGTTGGTGAGAAGTAAAGAAAGCAAACATAATAAGTCTTTCAAGCGATTCTCCTCATTTTCTCTTATACAAAATATTAATGAATTTATCAGAAAAATGAAATTTTTTCAAAAAGTTTTGCGTACTTTGAAAAATTAAATATGCCACCAAACTTTAAAATGTGACTCTGGGGCATATATTTATATGTAGGATAAGGATTAAAAAGTTGTAATAAAAACTTTTCAATTGACCCAGTTTAGGCAACTATCAGTTCTATTTATTATCGCCTTTGGCAGTTGTGCAACAAAGTTCTTCCACGATGTTCTTTACTACAATCGCTTTCGGCCCAAACAGTTACTAGGTCATTGCCTAAATCACCTTCAACGTCTGAGCACTGAGTTTATGTAATTTAAGTCCAACTAACTTGCCTTAAGTAAGTACTAATCATATAAACGTTAAACTCCTTTTTTGCAATTTTCTCACCAACGCTCTGCTTGTAATGTAACTACATTTTAATAGTTGCAAATGTGCAAAACTCTTGGCCTTTTCATTGCTAAACTAGCAAGGCAACGTTCTTCAATGTTCTTGTCCACCCGATCTTAGCCTTAAGCGTCTGCATACATTAGTATTTACTTAGTAAATGGTTGTAAAGCACGCCAGTCTGTACAGGCATCAAGGAGCAATGGGTGTAACTTTTTCTCAACTTAACTCCTCATTCTGTGTGCTTCAACACGCTTGATTAGGCGGGCAATTACTCGTATTTAGTAGTTGTATTTAGTAGTAGTGGCGAGTCCTTGCTGCCAACTCCGACGAGGGCAAATTCTCGTGCATTTTGTCAGATATATATCTCCGTTTATAGCCGTTTTACCATAGAATTTAATATTAGTTGTTGGTTTTTGTTTTGTTTGTGTTTTTCTGCGTGTTGAGAAATGTGTTCGTTGCACGCAAGTGCAATGCAATGTTTCGGAATTTCCAGCGACTTGTGGAGGTTAACGGTGTCGGAAAACTTTATAAAGTATAGAGCGTGATAGATGTGCTAATATTTAATTACTTGGGTAATATTTGTACATACTTTTTAATAGATCTTAAATATTAGCAACATCTTGTAACTAAGTACGTGCAGTT